TGTGCCTTTACGAAAGATGCGTGGAACAGTATGCAAGGTCCTACCAGGAGAAAACTACTGGCCAGTGAACATATTTCAGTAGCTCTCTGGGACAGCTTCACACAGGCGTATGGGGTGGGAGACCGCTCTCCCTAAGGCAGCCGAGAGGAAGGCACCAAGGGAGACGAGCCCAATATTTCTAAGGAAAAATGCTTTTACAAGAAACTGACGTGATCTGACAAACAGCTGGCCTAACATTTCAAAACATGGGCCACTGGTTGGACTTCATTTGAGAATATATTTGTTCAAGGTACTGATTGTGACTGCTTCTGTACCCAAGCCTGGAATGCTGGGCATCTAGAGCCTTTGCTAGAGTCCCTCATGGCAGAAATCCTATGTGCCGTGAAGACCTGCTCTCAGAAGAGAAGCAGCAGCTGATTCTTGTGTGCTTTTTCTAGCACTGGCCCCCACAGCGTTACTGCTCTCATGTAATTTGTATTCACACAGCATTAGCACGTGGAGGCCCCTCAGGGCAAGGACCTCTCTGCATGAGGTGCTCTGCAAACCCCTGCATGGGCTCAGGATCTTGCAGTGTCGGGGTTTACTGCGAAGTACCACGACAAGGAAGGGAAATCTTTTAACACTTTTGGTCGAGGCTGGGTTATGCTCAAGGCAAAGGTGCATCAGTGTACTTGGCTCCTTCTTGCCTCATTGTGTCTGGCAGTCACAGCAGTCCACAGAGCAATCAATCACCCACCTTTGGGGAATGACCGCCATGGGCCAGAGCTCCAACAAAGACCGGCGCAGTACTCAGTGGGAGCAAACTTGTGTACAGTACTCAAATAACCGTGGTGTCCAGCACAATACCTCATTAGAGCTGGAATGAGGGATTGTTCAAGTGCTTTCTGAAGGAGCTAATGAGGTTGGGCATTCAGATCAGCTTATTCCTAACTCTTGATTTGCTGCCCTGGGTAAGCTGCTGCTTGTGGTAACTCTTGTTTCATGGTTGAGCAGCCCTGCTCTGCTGAGAAGCAGCCATTGCAGGCAGCTTTTGGTAAGGGCATTGAACTTCTAAGATCTTCTAAATGAAAGCAGAGGGCAGAACTTGTAAAAATAGCATCACGTGGGTGATGCTTTTAAGATTACTTCTTTTGTCTGTGGTCCTTGCCATGCACAGTAACTAATGGAGGAAGCAAATTTGCTGGTTCAGAAATTCCTCAAAACAGTAAGTTCAATAGTGAGAGAAAACAGATTTTGGATGTGTAATCTTGCTTGGATCATTGTGCGGATAGATACAGGAGCACATCTTGTTAGCTGTGTGTCCAACCTAAGCGGCTTTGTCACCAAGAACTTGGAAAAGTGGGGAGAGATGCAATTAGTAGCCCAGGGATCTACCTTGTGGTTCTCCCACAGGCCTGGGGAAACTGCCCAGGGCCACTGGGCAATAGCTTTTTATTCTACATAAAAACTTCACGCTACAGATGCATTATTGCCCTGTAAGCTGAAATCCACTGGCCAAAAAAAACCCCAAACAACTGTCATAACTCCACTTTCATTTCATCCTCACAACGTGCCTCTGTCTGGTGAGATATTGGGTTCAACGTCCACAGTGTCCGATCCTGACGGGCTTTGTGGGGTTGTTGGCATCGGCAGGTTTCACCTAATGATACTGTGTGTTGCGCTGGGAAGCCACCAGAGACATAGCTTGTTAGTTGGGAAAGAAAGTAATGATAGCATTAAATAATCTCTGTTTTCATTTACTGGGTGCTAATGATCCCTAGAAGCTGAAAATCCCAGAGGATGCATTTCCTTTTGATTAACCCAGCAGAAGGATGACAAGTACAGTTACTGTCTACTGAAACATCACCAGGGCCTGGAGCTGTTCAAATGCAGCTATGTTCCTTTTTTTCCTCTTCAGAAAGACATTTTCTAACACTTTTTTTCACTCAGCAGTGAACCGCTGCCACTGTTGTCCTCTGAACAGAGAATGGCACCAGCTTGTTTTCCATGCTCCTATCTGCAGTGGCAGAAGATGAATCCTGCACACCCAGCACTTTTCCCCGGCTGCAGGCAAATTGCTTTGCCATCATTGTTCCGGTTACAGTGGCTTTGGTGTAAGGGAGGGAGAGATGGCCCTACATAGCTGTACATTTAGGGTTTTCCATATCACTTAGCTGACCTGAATTAGAAGTATGCCCTGCATTTAGACGATTAAGCCTTCAGGGGCCATGGAGGTGTCATAAGTAACCTCCTTCCTAATTACGCTTCATAGCATGCTCGCATTTAGGTAGGACAGCCTGGCAGAGAAACAAAGCTGAGGCATGGAGAACCTGGTTTTGTGTTACAGGGTAAGTCAGTGGCAGAGGCAGCCTTCTATCCTAGCTATGGGATACACTCATTTCTGGTACTTACTGCTTTCTTTTGGGCTTTTTTAATACCTTAAGCAACGGGGCATGCTCAGCTTCATTTAGGAGGTGATCTTAACCAGCCAAAATTGCCACTGGCATATTTCTTAGGTATTCATTCTATGCAATGAGACCAAAGAAAATATACCTTAATCTCTGTTTTATGCCCTAGTCACACACACAATGATACCTCCATTCCTTATTTTAAAGTACACAGTCCAAATAGACATACATTTGTATTTTCAAGGGTATTTAGTGCCTGCCTTTCATTGAAAGTAATGGGAATTAGGCTTTAAAAATCCTCTAAGCACCTTTATTCCTTGATCTTAAGCTGTGTCTGTGAATTTATGTAGACTAACAAAAAGGGTGAAAGCCAGAATTGGGTTAACTGTTTCAGCTAACTCCAGCCTTTCTGAAGTCACTTGCTTTATTCCAGATGAAGGTTTTGACAGCTTTTGAGCAGAGTTAAATCTCTTGGGCAGGGGGTGGAGCGGTACTGGACCTTGCTGCAATATGAACCATTTCTATTGAAATTTGCTTGAGGATAGAGTTTGATCTGATTGTAAGTTTGATTGATACTAGGGTACCTAAAGTCCTTGTACAGGCATTGTTTGTTATTTGTTTTAAGCTTTCAGAACACATTAATAGGGACCTGCCTTTGCTTCTTCCATGGAGTGCAGCGGCGTTTTTCCTTCTGTAATAATTTAAATGAACTGTGTCCATGATTGAGCCATCTGGCCGCACTTAGCTATCGTGATAGTCGTTCTGTTTGCAGAGCTTTAGAGGCACCTATGCGTGGATTTTCAAAAGCAGTGCACATTGGCATCCTTCCTTACTCACTGATCTCTAGGAATGTTACTGCTGGCTTACCATCCTGACCTGTTATCCTAAGGAAATGATGCCGTGGAAAGCCGGAATTGAAGACTCAATAGTCGGCAGACTATCAAGCAGGTATTCTTTATTACGGCACCCGGCACACGGGGATCTCTCCTCCAAACGTGTGCACCGAAGAGACACAGTTACTAGGTATTTATGCTATGTTAACATACGTATTAATTACATTTCCAAGAAATGTTTATCATAGTAATGGTTTTTCCGAGAACTCATTAATATACGGTAATGTCCGTCGCACATGTTTGTTTGGCGTCTCTCGGCAGGGGTCTTCAGATTATCCTGCAGCCTCCTTATCTCTGTAGTTTGCATACCTGTTCTCCCAAGGCCCAGGCGCCTAGAGGGATTATTCAGGAGTCCCTTGTCTTGCAACTGTCGCAATTATTCACAAAGAACCAAGACTTGTTTCTGACCACCTGAAGTGATAACATCCCCTACATGTTACATTTGTTATGTTTACAGTTATCAATATGCTCTGCAAAATCTCCTCTTAACTCTCACTTAGGCCGTAAGAAATGGGCTAATACATTTAAGGAAGCCCAAGCCCTGTATTGTGACTGAAGTCTCTGTCAGAAGGTGAAAAAAAATTTCTACAGAGTTTTGAAATGAAAGCAACGAAACCATCAGGGAAATGGACTGCAGAGGCTGAAGCTGAAAAGTGTCACATTTTGCTATAGCACTCTCCTGAAGGGCTAAGAATAAACTTCCTTTACCCTCTTATATCCTGCACACTGTAACACTGTCTACAACTCCGTTAGTCCTGTGGGATGTGCATTTGCTGATGTGAGCACGGCAGATAGTTTCTGGATAGCTGGCATCCCTAAATATGGGCTATGCTGTAGCCTCGGGCTTTCTGAGGTGCGGCAAGTGCCGTAGGTACCTCAGCAACACTACAAATGCAGGCAATTTAGCTACAACGGCATTTGTTTCAACTGCTTTTCTCCTTCCTTTTCCAATAGGTGGCAGATTTGGAAGTATTTGGCTTGCAGTTTGAGTTGTGGCTCAGAAGTACTCACGGATGTGTCATTAAATTTTATCTACTTCTTTCTACGGAAAAAATCTTGCAGACTGGTGGGAAGTGCTAGAGAATGCATACCAATCTCCAGTATTGTTAGCCCGGTGCTCCCACTTAAATTCAGGTACTTTTGTATTAAAAAGGAGCAAACTATTCTACCTCCCATTTTTTCGGTTGTTCTTGGGACAAATCCAGCATGACATTACAGCTCTTTGTTATCAAATGTGCGAAATGATGCTCCTGCTGCAGCAGCAGCACTGAGTTCAGTGGGAACAACTCCAGTGCGCCGCGCCGGGTCCAACAACAGCGGGCGTGATGAGAGAGGCGCCTCTGCTGCCGCGGTGCCCATACAGGCATGGGGAGAGCAGCTGCTGGGGTGGAGTTATGTTTCCCCTGTTATGTTGACAGCAGTCTTCCTCCAGCGTTTGGACTTCATGGCCATGATTTTGACAGAATGTGGAAAATATGTACCTTGAATGTATTTTTGTTTTGTTTTAATACCACCTGACTTGTGCAGTTTCGTACACAGGAACCCCTCTAGGCAGGGTAATGCCAGGGACTGGTGGCTGTCACTTGCACTAGCAGTGTTATTTTTCCATGTAGGCTCCTGATGCTGCAGGGGAACGCACCGGCAGCTGTATCGGGCCCAGCGACCAGCAGCACAGCAAGTAGACACTCATCTGCAAAGAGCCCTTTATCCACCCCGCGCCATGGCAACACAAGATGATTTCGCAGCAGGTAAAGGGATGCAGCAGACTGGACTTCTTCAGCCAGGGCTTGTTGCAACCCTGTTCCTGCTTCCTTTGCCTGGAGGATGTTCACCTGCAGCGGCAGTGCCGGTGCCCAGGAATGCTGCTCGGCGCAGGGAGGCACAGCGTGTACAAAAGCTGCATTCAAAGCGCTGATCACGAGACCCCGGAGATGCTGGCAAGTGCAGCAGCTATTCTTCATGCTGGACACTTGAGAGCCCAGCCTAGAAGGCTGGGTAATGGGGAAGATATTAGCCAGGATAGGGGGCAGGGAAACGCGCTGTGTGTAATTTTGCATTTTCAGGAACAGCCAAGATGAGAAATTTTTGAGGCAGGCCGTGTTTCTGTTGGGTGCCTCTGCAGTAAAGAAAGCAGGGAATAAACCCCTGTAACAGTGAAACAGAACAAAGGAGAATGTTTGGGTGGACCATTTGCATCCTACAGATAGAGTAATCAAATAAGCCCACTGAATACTGAGGAAATCTAATGTAGAGTGCAAACAGTCTTTTAGTTACAACACTTGGTGATTGATTGTTTGTGTCCTCATACTTTCTTTCTTGTGAAGAGAAATTTAAAATAAACCCAAAAATGAACACAAAATTGAGTGGGAATTACAGAAACAGAGGACTTTCAAACTAGCTTTGGGAAGCATCTACTTACTAGCCATTGTCAAATTCTAGAGACCTTTGTGGGCTGCCTACCCTCTGGCAGGACAGGAAAGAAGTCCTGTAGTTGTGGATGGCCAGTCAGCAAAGCGCAGGTAAATTAGTAGAATGTTAGCTGTGAAAGTGCTGGAATGTAAGCCTATCATAGTGCTGGAATGTAAGCCTATCATAGTGCGGAACACTGTGAGATCAAACACACAACTGCAGCGGCCAGGACTCCAGGTCACCACTGGTGTGTCAGTCTTCTACGGAGAAGGAGGTGTCTGTTTTTTCCTCTCCATATAGAATGCTGCGAATTTCAGTGATTTGTACTATCCTTATTTTAAAGCTAAGTACCATGCCCTAGCTGCTGTCTACTGGGGGAGCATTCACAAATTCAAACCCAGATACACAGCTCTGCGAGGTGGAAGCATTGATTCAAACTTGCAGCTTTGTGGCAGCAGCTGGACCACTGGAGAAGAAGGTGAAAATGGAAAGGGGCTAAATATCCAATGGTGGCCTCAGCCAAGTGGGAACCCCCCCCCAACCTAACTGATCTCAGGGAGAAATGGTCCTTGGAAGCCAGTCCTCTTGTGCTGGCTCTGTGTCCGAGTAGGTGGCTGACAGAGAGCTGCAGGTGATCTTGCCCTCCTCTAGTGGTGCACATAACATCGCATCTCTCTATTATTAGTTTATTATGCTTTCTCCTTTATCAACAGTAGCCAAATCACGACTACTGCCAGCCAGGACAGGGACTGTGTCCCAACGGACCATAAATCTGGCATGGTAATGATACGTGAGTTCTGTTTTTGTCCTTGCTATCAATGTGTGGTCTTGCTGTAAGTAAATTCCCAGTTCTTCCTCTACCTACCCATCAGATCTGACCTGGAGGATGGGATGGTGCTATAGAAACACTGGCAAGGTGTGCCTGCTTGCTGAGATGTCTTTCTGCTTTCCATAAACACCAGTAGCACTGTGTGGGTCTTTACTGGTAGTCTTCACAGAATCCAAGGCCTGAAATAGGCATCTGCGTCCCCTTCTCACCAGTGGGGTTTTCAGCCTCTCTCTCCTGGCTTGTTAAATCAATGATGTTTAGAAATATTGAACTGATGCTAGTTTTATGAAAAATACAAACAAATTGATCTTCTGAATGATTAAAAAACCCTTGAATGCCTCACTCATTAGATGGGTTGATTGTAAAGGTATGAGGTCAGCTAACTCACTTCTTCCCTTTTACCTGATTTACAGCTTCTTTTCAGTCCATATTAACAGCCCAGATGGAGAAATCTCCGAGTTTGTTGGAAGGGGATAGAGCTAGGAAACATTCAGCCCCAAGGGCGAAATTTTCCTTCCCAAAGGCCATCTCTCCCCAGGATGGCTGGGGCAGCAACGCTGCTAGTGTGCACGACCTCATACGTGAGGATGGAGGTGAGCTCTCCGACCTTTCTCACCAAGACTTGACCCAGGACCCCGGAGAAAGGAAGATGAGCAGTGCTGCGCTGGAAACCATTCAGCTCAAGGACACGCTGAAGACAAGGAGGATGTCTGAGGGTCTCTTAGACTCACGGAGAGGTAAGGCGGGAGATTGCCTGCTCTCTTGTGGGAAGGAGGGTATTTTCCCAGCCTAGAGAGCTAGTACACATTCCCAGTGAACAGTTCTCACCTGTGTATGCGCCCCTGCAACAATCTGCCCTGCTCTCAGTCACCTGCGTAGGCCTCCTGTTGCTCTAGGGGTGTACAACTGTGGGGCAGGGAGAGGTGCAGGAGGGTGTATGTGCAGGTGACTTAGTCTGGGTAAGCACAGGTCTGTGGGCTCCCTGTTGTCTGACAGGAGCCCAGAGGACCAAGGTGTTCCTCTGGTGGCTCTGCGGAAGTGGGTAAGTGTTGCTCCCTGCCTCGTTTCAAGTGGTTTCCAGCATGAGCATGTTTCTCTGTGCAGTTATTTAGAAGTTTCCAATAAATCTGTCCAGTGAAATATCTAGTTTCAGGTGCTTTAGGTTTGCTGTGCTGCTTCTATTATGTTTCGTGTCTCCACTTTGCAGGCCTGACTGACTGCAGTGACCCTAAGGTGGTTACCCAGAAAGCAGCAGTCTGCAAGTCAGCTTCTCAGAGGCTCTTGGGAACCTCCAAGCCCATGCCTCCCACCCAGAACAGCCTTCCTTCCTCAGTGGCAAGCAGGATGAGTAATGGAGAGCAGGAGCATGGGGAAAGTGGCACAGGCTGTGGTGACGGTGATGAAAATAACACGGAGCTGATGTCAGCAGGAGAAGGACATGAAGTAAGGAAACTAAGCCTGTTCATGTGTGATGGATCCTCAGTTTATTTCCTGTAGGCAGAGCTCTGAGATCTTTCCTTATGGTGCAAGCCCAGGGAAGCAGCTGAGCCAAGGAAGAGCTCAGCTGGACGTTGCACTTCAGGCTGTCTTTGCAATGTCCATACTGCAGACTTCATGTCTTCCACATATATCAATAGGAGAATAGGTCTTTAAATAGTTTTTGTGCTCTCTAGTGGCTCCTGCTGTGTTTTATGACTGAGACAACACCAGCAACTAGTCAGAGCAACTAAATGTGTCTAATTTGGTCAAGCATATGTTTCTACAGTTAGTAAAATACATGTATCTGTGAACCATCTGTATATGGTGGTTACTGCTGCGAACTCACTAGTGTCTTAGTGGCTTTTCATATCAGCTCTGTCTGGTTCAGGTGGAAAAAGATGTTTGCTGGAGCAGGCAGTCCTGCAAATTCAACTCTAGGCTGTCTCAGCTTTTGAGTTGTACAGCCATGTTCTTCTAACAGTTATCTCTAATAATATTTCTGGAGTTCTGCAGTTCTGTGCAGCTTCATCCTCTCCCATGGGTTTGCCCAGGGGTAAGTGATAGGAATTGGCAATTCTGTCCATGGGCAATGGAGTCCAGACCCCATCCACTTGATTGTCTTTCATGAGGGACAGAAGCTGCAGTGGTTTTGGTTTTGCCGTGGTGGGCAGGAAAAAGAAGATGAATAACAGCTTTTGTAAACAGGATAACCAATAAAAGGCTAGTGAACTTGATTTCAGCCTGGCAGATGCAGGGCCAAAAGGATCCCTGACATTAACTCTGTTGGTCTCACTGGAGTTTGAACAGGTCCTGATCTGGTTCTTTAGCTGTGACAAGAAAAATGGGATACTAAGGAAGGGTGCGTGTCTGCCCCCGCTCCCTCCATCCCCCTTCCTAGCCATGGCATGGGGAACCTGAAGGAATTTCAGCAGACAGGAAGACCTTATACAGAGCAGCGGGGTAGGGAACTCCGCTGAACTTCTTAAATGATGGTGAGCCTGAGATGATGAATTGTGTGGGAGCTGGAGAGCACCAAGCATCCAGAGAGCACATTAGCATCTGGGCCGAAAGGCTGGTGGGTGACTGCAGGAGGGACAGAAACAGAAAAAAATATTGGCTGGAGAAAAGCAGGTTTTGTCAGTGTGCAAAATGACTTTGTGGGGACTTGGCTGGAGTTCAGCAATGGTTGACAGGTGCTTTGGGGACAGTGGGAGGATAGTGATCTAAATCCATTCCCATACCATCGGAAAGGTTAACCGAGGCAGTGGCACCCCAGAACATTCTTATGCCAAGCAGATGGATGCCAGGTGGGAATGTAGCCACTGCCAGAGAGGTGAGCGAGGAGAGAGAGCTGACAACAGTGTGGGACACTGTCTCTCCCTGACCGCTTCCCTTTCCATTGCCCTTCCTAGGCCAAGCTGCTCCGTCAGTTTGACTTTTCTTTTTGTGCCAAGTCCTAGCTGAGAGCATGGCTAAACTTCTTGTGGTATTAAAGGGGGAAGGTTAGATGGTCAAGCTGAGCACTGTGTTATCCTCTTTCCAGGCTTCCCTGATGCCCTGGTATTGCAGTGGTGAGGATGGGAAGAAGTCACTGGGAGTGACTTTGGTTCGCACTGTCCCCAAGTCAGCAAGACCTTCTGATGGGGCTCCTGGCAGCACTGCACTGCCTGTCCGAAGCTCTCAGCACTTGGTTTTCCAAGAGGCCTTGGACATGAGGTAAGCCCAGGTGTCTGCTTCTCACATATGGTGTTCACCTCACACTTCTCATCTTGTGAGGTTATTTTCCACAGTCAGCTCTCCAATATATTTATGCAAACATCTGTGCATTCACCATTTTGCATATCTATGATGATCTAGCACAATGTCAAAACCAACATCATAGACTCTAAGAGCAGCGATAGTGAGGGGTAGGAGGAGGCAGGACTTAAGAAGACCTTAAAAGCAGGTCCTCTGCTGGATTCTGATACTGATTCAGTCTGTAATCTTTGTGGTGCCATTTGGGAACTGTACTGCATGGATCTGAATACAACATCTGGTTTTGTGTGTGATCTTTGACTGCCAATTTCTGTACCTGCAAGGATATGTTAGGGCAAATATTGGCTATTGTAGAGCTGTCTACAAATTCAGATGCTGGTTCTGTAAATGCCAGCTGTAACTTCTCTGTGTCTGGGCCTTCACTATCAAATGAGAGCCCAGACAAATCTCTGTTTATAGACGTCTAATCCTATAGATGTGTAATATTTACACATGGTTTTAAGATCAAAGAGGCACAAAGTGCTAGAGGACAGTCATAGGGCTGTAGCTGACGGAAAGATATTTGCTCAGATATGCATGGGGAAATCTAGCTGTCAGCCTTTTCCTAGTTATAACTATAAATAAGGAGTAATAAAAATATAGTTCCAATTTAAAAGCTTCAGCATGGCTTTTAAAGTGCAATCTGAAAATACTTACCTACCAGTTGAACTGGAAAAACCCTTTTTCTTTTTGAAAGAGCAGGGACGTATAGTTTTGTTCTCAGGAGACAGCAGTGGTATTACCATGTGTAACAAGATACTGTCATCAGTTTAAGGCATGGCCAGGCAAGGTTAGGCTTCTGCAGCAGTATAAAGGTAGCTGCCCTCAGTTCAGACTTACAACTGGCTTAACGTCTCTTGCTGATTAAGAAAGGATGTATGCAACAGAGCCACTTAGCTCCAAAAGGAGAGACATCGGCATTGGATAGTTAATGCCCAAACTGAAGAATGACTCCTGTGTTTCAGCTGGAGCTTGATGAGCTCTGTGTGACTGCAACAACGCATTTCCTCCTTCACCAGAACAACCTTGCTAAGAAAGTTTGCCTCCTTTAATGCTATCCCCCCCCCCGCCCCCTTTCTATCTCCTCATATATTTTTTTATCCTCAATTTTCTTAAGGCCAAGATCAGGCAGGAGACTTGAAGAGCAGACCCTGAAATCTCCAGGTAGGTACAGGGCATGGCAGCCCTAAAATGAACATAGGAATCCTGACCCTTGGGTGGCACTGTGAAAGTTCAGCTGAAAATCATCCTGTAACATTTTTCAGTCCCTTGATGTGCTCAAGATTCCCCAGAGCCCAGTCACTGGGAAATGTGCTCTGGTGATCTAGTGAAAATGACTCCAGCATGGGGTTATGAATGGCAGGAGCTGAAGGGGTACCCTGGGGCCCTGGAAATGCATAGCAGGAAAAGAAAACATTCCTCTACCTCATGCGCATACTATTTATTGCCCTTCACTCTCTCTAATGTCACAAAGATCAGACAAAAATGAGACATTTTGCACGAAATGAGAAATGTTCCCACTCCTTCCTCTTACACTTCAAGGAGAAAACCTTCCCTTGGAGCAGTTTCTGAACTGAACCCTTGGAGATCTGAAGTAGATTCATCAACATTGCCTATTTTGCACTGGGAGAAACAGCAAAACCTTGTGTGATATGAAGTCCTTGTGAAATTTCCATTTACAAAGAAAGAGACTTAAAAAGGATCCAGCCTATGCAGGATCTGAGCTTTTCATCCTTTTAAATCACAGGCCCAAATTAAATGTTGAGTAATGAACTGAGGTTTCCTTTGTGCAGCTTTTTCACCTCAAACCAGATATTCTAGGTTTATGATTACAAATGTCTCTTCCCCTACTCTATCTGCATATGTCAGTATTGGAAACTAAGGCTGGTGTAGGAGATGCCTGCTGGCTTCTTCCCACCCCCTGCCTTGCATTGTCACTAGCAATAAGAGTTCCACAAGACAAAATGCAGTGTCTGGTGTATCTGTGTAAGCCAATACTTCTAAGTTGAAAATCTCCATGATACCATTACTGTCCCTTTGCCATCTGTCAGTTTGTAGCGATAGGAGAGATGAGAATTTAACAAATAATTTTGCTGATGCAGAAAAAGGGATAAAAACCACTGGTCCCTCAGCGCAGTGTTAGTTCTGCCAAATAATGAGCACATCTCATAGGAATGATTGCTTTATTGCTGATATGCAGCTAGGATGCTGAATGCAGCTAGGGAGAACTATTGCTAAGAAAGGTGACATTTTTGCTGGATTCTTTCTGGACTAGAAATGAGCTATATCGTTAAACCTTCTCTCTCTCTCTTTTATTATTGACCTGACCATTCCTCAGGGAAAAAAATCCTGATTTAAGGAAGTTATTCCTTTTTTACTGCTTGGCTATCACATGATTTTATCATCTGTGAAGCCATGTAAGGAATGATTAGTTCTCTGAGTTTTAACAGCTCTGTTGGAAAGCATTTCAGACTGAGCCGCACTGTGCTATTCTCATTAAGAAAATCAGCTTTTAGTCAGGCTGCCCAGAAAGTGGGCTGATCTGCTACAATTTAGAATGAAACCCCTTGACGAAGATGAATTCCAACTTCAAGAATACAATTCTGGTTTTGGTAACCCTCTAGCAATCCTGAGCTTTTGTTTAAATGCCCTCCAAAATATTCCAGCAAAGAGGAGGAAATGTTGATTCTTACTTCTACAAAGGCATATAGCTATTAAAAAGCAGTTCTTTTAGTAACTGGGAAAAAGAGGATATTTACTAAAACCAAAATCGATAGGAACAAATAAGAACCTTTTTGGCAAGGCCATTCTCAGCTGCTCTTCATTATCAAACACAGCTGCTCTCTAGAAGCCAAGGGCTGAGGCCTTTATCATGCAGTAGGTTGGAGTCTGATGAGCAATGTCATTTATGCTGCCAGTGCAATATGGTAGTATACCACCTGTTTGGAGAGGTGGTACATACCTTGCTTGTTCTCATATACAGTCTATATCCTTGTCTTATCAGAGCTCCCGAATGGGGAACCCCTCTTGCCTGTTCTACAGCATTGCACTGTGGCTGGCGTGGAATCTGCCAGACACTTGTGTGAACCTGTGCCCCCATTAAAAGGCCTCCCACACAGCCAGGGCAAGGAGATGGATCATGTTGTGAGCTCCTGCCTTCTGAGTGATGATGACGACTTCAAGGACAGCAGTGGAAGGGTAAGGGCTAAGGACAGGGGTGGGCAGGCTTCCTTTACAGTGACTGTTCAGTGCTTAGCACAACAAGTTCCTGAAAATCATAATCTCCCTCTCTTGGGGAGCAGATTCTCTTAGGAGTACATTTGACAGCTACAGAGCAATTGCTTGAGTATTTTCACTGGTGCAGAAGTCACTGGTTGGGAGGTGGTGCTAAGGTTATGTGAGCAGCATTCTTCATGTACGGAGGTCAATTTAGAGCAGATGTGGATGGCAGAGCAAGTTATGCACCAGTGAACATGTGCAAAGTGCACGCTCGAAAGCACAGAACAAAGATTATGATGTTGAGTGTAAGCAGGGCTGCAAATTAAAGTGGGAGAGCTTGGTTTTCCTTGGTTACCTTCCTTGCTGTATCTCGCAGCCCTCTTGTTCTCAACTTTTCTATTCACAAAGACCAATGCTTCTGCAACTTGTTTTCACATGATTCCTTTTTGGACTCCTGTATTCTCAGAGTGCAGCCGAGTCCTTCAGAAGAGAGTAAGTAAGAAGCAGCTGCAATTACTGGCCATGAGTGTTAAGAAACAGCACGTTACCTCTCATTGCTGGTTATCGCAGGCAGGTTTTACTCCCCAGCCCTAGCCTGTAGGAACTGAACTGCCTGTTCACTGGTAATGTGAGCTCTTCATAAGTCTTGGAGCCCTCCCTTGAATCTCTTGGTTCAAGCAGGGCTTTCTGACATAGACTGAGAAACAATATCTTGGACTAGTGGAAGGTTATGGCAATGAAGGGTTACATGTGACTGGGTGTAACTGTATGCCAAGGTGAGGAAAGGAGGAACTCTTCTGAAACTATTGGGATGTAAATGGACCTGCATTAAAGACGATGACAGTTCACCACTGTGTTTGTGATGAGGTGTTGTGTACGTTTTGTGTATCTCTCTTGACGCTCCATGATATATTTCCATTGCAACTAGATCCACGTTACCTTGTGGAAGAGAGCTCAGAAGAAAATACAGCAGCATCAAATGAGACAGACGGAACTTTTGTGTAGAGAGAGGGAGAAAGAGAGCGAAAAGGAAAAGTCTTTGCAGCTTCCTACACTGAGCGTTGACCCAGGGGATGCAGCTGAAGAAGGTCAGTGGCTGGTATAGTCGTGGCTCTTTTTGTTCACTTGCTTGCTCTTTGCATAGTGCTGCAAATGTCTATGAAATCAGACTGGAAGGCTGTTACACTTGCATCTGAGTGGAAGTTCGAACAGGATTTATTTCCGCTTCCCAAAGAAAAATACAGAGGCATGAAGAGTCTTGCCCATGGCCCACACGGCGTCAGTCACAGAATACCACCTTCCCCACTTCGCCTATAAAGTCTTTCAGACTGGATAATTCTGTCTTGCAAAGTACATTGGGGGTTCAGACTCTTTAATTGAGAGTAGCCTCCGGGAAGGGTGAATGGGTGAATCCAAAAGAATGCTTTTCAACCAAGGTGCAACCTGGAAGAAACAAAATTAAACTATTTCTGATTAAAACACAAAAGATTTTGTTCATGTGATAGGACAGATTATCCTGCTCACCCCACTCTCTGCTGAGCAGCTTGCATTGCAGAGCTGTGCTGGAGCCCTTAGCCTGTGCTTACGTTTTACCCACATGAGCAAGCAGTGTTACTGACTTAATTGCAGTTGTCAGGCTCTGATTGTGCTGCTGCGTGCGCTACCATGAGTGCAGTGACAGCAAACTTCAGAGTCAGCACTCAGCCCAAGGGCATCGGGCAAGGTTATCTGCTCTTTTTCTTGCTATTATTTTGTGAAGTACTGGTGAGGAGCGCTGAGGTGTGAGCCCCAGAAATGTAACTTCCCTATCCAGCCTCTGAAACAGGAAAGCAAAAGAAAAGCAGTGATGAGTTTTCCCCATTTCTTAGGGAAAGCCTCACTACATTCTGCGATCACTGTCCCATGTTGGTGTGCAACTGTTACGCTTGGAGTTGTTTGGGACAAAAAAGGGATGTTACCTATCTCCAGCAAGATTTCTAGCCCTTTCCAAGCCCATAGCCATGCTGCCCAGCACTCTCCACTTAGATCTCTCCTCTTTGGGCTCTGCAGGTTTTGGCTCACTGCCTGTCAATGCGACAGTTTCCATTTCCACCAGCATGATCAACGCACACAGAAATCACGCTGGTACTGCCTTGAGGAAGCAGGTCAACAGGCCCTCACTGCCCAGCATCTCCACCGCCAGCCAGCGTGGCAGCTTCCCGCACAAGTCCTCAGGTAAGCCCGCTCCACTGCAGTCACCAGCCCAGCTCTTTCCTTGCACAAGGAGCACAAACGTATCTCAACCACAGGCAGCATCTCAGGTCCAGTGTCTGTCCTGAGGATTGAGAGGAAACCTGCTTTGGATCCACTCCATCTTAGTGATACTGGAGCAGCTGGTGCTTACAGATGCATTGGAAAGTTGAGCTGAACACAGTAGTGGTGAAGCCTTAAGCTCTAGTTTTTGCTTGTACCAATAGTCTAAAATGTGACACCGGTGCCAGGAGGCAGCTGTAACTGCAGGCCTGAGCTCCGATGCAGTCTGGCAGAGTGTGCTCACTGTGCACATATGTGTACCACCGTGATCAATTAGCCACTCACTATCTTGGCCCTCTGCCTGTGCTGCTGTCTGGCTCTCCAGCCAGCTTTTCTACTATTGCAGCAAGAGTTGTCTCTGCATGGAAATTAGTGACTTGGTACAATCATGCTACTGCACGTAGAAGAGCTCAACAGCTTCTAGCATCTCTAATCCCACCGCCTGCAATGCAAACTGGGAGCAAGCAGTGCCTCTTCTGTCAGCCCACCCAAATACGGTGGCTGTGTGTAGCAGATGCCATGCAGGAGAGGCTCTGCCTGGTGCTCCCAGGCTGCTTGCTACCTGCAGTAAATACACAGCGGACAGTGAGTCCATGGTGGTTCTCATCTCCCCTTTGTAGGTAGCCTACCTCGTGTTATGATCCTGAGTAGCATGAGTTAAGAAATAGGGAGCTAGGAATGATACTTTGAATGCTCTTTTCTAGTGATGCTACCCTGATTTTCCAACTTGACCAGAACTAGCATGACATGGCTCTCCATATTGAATATAGATATGTATATGTACATGTGTAGTGACATCACTGATGTCAGTGACAGTAATATCAGTGACATCCAAATTAGTCCCCATCTGAATTTTTTTGGTTTTACAGTTCCTTCATCCTCCATACTTTGTAGAACACATGAGGTAGCACAAAAACTCTACAGAGTCCCTAGCGGTTCAACTATATTCTGTGCGATATTTATACTCAATACTCGTAAACAGCTCAGATGTTTTCATCTACACTTTAGGAAATGAGGTTTTCAGGGCAAGACATGAAGTTTTTGACCTATGGTGCTTTTGATGACAAACAGGATGCGTAACAAATGCATTTGTCATCTGAATTTTCTTGTAGCTTGTATATTTATCATCAAGAGAGAGTGTTTGCCAACAATTTGCATTTATATTTACATATTTTTATTCTCAGTTCACATTTGGAAAGCTTTTTTTGTCACAACTATCCAGACTAGAAATTGCATTTTTCCACAAGAGAAAGCCTAGGCATTTCACAGTTTGCAAACTAGTACATTTGATGACAAATAAACTTCACCTCAGCATCTTCAAAATACAGCCAGGGGTACCTCTGAAGTAGTAAATATTCATAACGCTTGGAAAATAGCAAAATCCATAAACTACTACTTTCCCAATAGCATGCTAAAATGTATGTGCTCTCAGCTGCCTGCTGTCTTAGAATACTTGAAGTAAATGGAATAGAGGCACTGTCAGATTTAGAGGGTCAGGTATCACTGTTCCCTGGTGATTGCTCCTTGGGGATTTGCTTGAGCCCAACAGGAATCAGTTGTTCAGGCTCGGTGCTAACTGCGGGCAGCTGGAAGTGTTTCTTCAGAAAATTACAGGGTGCCTCGGTCCCCAGTGCTCCAGGTAACAGGGAGGTGATACAGGGAGGTATGTGCACATCTCAGGAGCTTACTCCTGCTGGGCAGCAAGCTGGCTGTGGTACCTATATGGACTTGGGAGCTGGCTCTGTGTGTAGTTTTCAGGTTTGCACAAAGAGCTGGTGCCCAGCTGGGGGTAACTGGGAGATGGTTGGGTGCTGGAGGAAGCAATGAGCCAGACAGCAGGGAAGTCTCTGAACCAATGGCAGTTTGCATCCGTATGTAACCTTGGCTGGGACATTGGGTTACAGTCTGCTAAATGATGGGGTGCCTTGCCCTGGGGTATGCGCTGCTGGTGTCTAACCCTCTCCTTACAGCGAGCTCACTGCCGGCCATTGCTCTGGAATACCTGGAGTGGGACGATGAGCCAGAGTCTAAGGACGCCCAGGAAGGCAGACCTTTGCCTCACCCACAGCAGGTGCTGCTCCATGCGCTTACATGTCTCAACAACGACGATTGGTAAGAAAGCCCCCTGTTCACTCTTTCTCCCTCTCAGTGTGAAGGAAAGTTAGAAATGCATTTTTAACAGTGCCTGTGAACCCAGACAGCACAGATGTCCAGAAGGAACTAGTGAAACCACTCCAAAGCAATCTCAGCATAAAGATGTGAAAGCAGCCTTTTATTTGCCTTGGTCCGTGGCAGCGCTAGAGCCGCAGCAGGTCCATGCTGTTTCCTAGCTTTGCCTGCTGCTCCAGGTAGCTGCAAATGAGATCTTCAGGGAAGAGAGGAAGTTGTGGAACAAGGTGATTTGCTGGCTGAAGCCGGAAGCAAGTCAGAAGTGGTCTTGAGTTTAGAGGTTTGGTGGCCTCAGGTCACAGGTCCAGGTGGGACTGAGTAAGGATTTACCTCTGCTGACGCTGCTGGCAGCAGCAGGAGACAGGGCCTCCCTGTGACCTCATGCGTGTGAGTTCCAGCAGCGTCTACGGTGAGTTCATGTTGCTGAGAAATGGACTGAGACATGGTGCAGAGTTGCTCAGCCTGCCATTTGTCCTGAAGGGCTCATGACAGAAGACAAGAAAAAAAGAAAAAAATACTTGAGGAATCTTGCACTTTTAGAATTCAACTTTTTCCTCCTCACTGCTTAATATGAGCCAAAAGGCTTTTGTTCATAATCACGGTGTCTCCTGAAATTAGACAGAGTCAGGAGGAGACTCAACAAATCTCAGGTGATATTGGTTGTCTTTTTGATTTCTGGGCACACACTCACTAGGGCACCATTCACACTGGGATAACCACGAAAAATCTTCCATGATGCATCTCCTTGTGCAATCGCTTTGTTTTGCCCCTCTCCCCTTTCTCTTTCGCGTTCCTGTTTGGTGCCCTGTGACGGGCAGAGAGCTGCTGCAGGTGTGGGGGATCCGGGTTACACTTGGGGACCCCAGTGGGGATGGCTCCCTGCTCCTGCCCTGCAGCCCTGGTGAGCCACTGACTGCATCATGTGCCTTCATGTAGCTCAGGTCCTTCACAAAGGAAGTGGTGAAAGAGGTGGGGTTTTACTACTTTTAAGTAGCATGTTGCTGTGGTGGGTGTTATTTTATGCAGGGATTTTCTGGAAAACACAGCATTTCTGCTGTGCTTGCCCAGGTGTGAAGTCTTTTAGGACATACTGCTTTTTTTTTTGGGGGGGGGTGGTGATATCGTGGGGGCAGTGGGACATGACTAGACTGCAGAGTGCAAACTCAGCTATGGAGTGGCAGTGCAAACTCTCACTCCTGAACTGCCCTCTGGGGAGGAGTTGGAAGGAAAATGCCCCAGTAACAGCCAGGCGGGACTGTGTCTCAGGGATGGGATCCAGCGAGGGTGAAAGAAAAAGGAACATGGCACAGTCTCCCAGCTTCTAGGAAGCAGCAACACAGGGACTTTGTGTGCCAGGGATTTCAGAAAGGCTGTCTTGTTTAATGGCCACAAATTAACCCATCCACTCTGAAACCATCTATTTGCCTTTTGGGTGTATGTACGCTTTTGACCAGTGCAGCATCCTGTGACAATGAGTTTTGCGATTTAATTAAGTGCTCTATGAGAAATGCCTCCCTTTGTTCGTTTGAGCCGACACCCTGGTAATTTCAGAGGGTGCTGCCTAGTTCTTGGGTGGTAAGAAAAATCAGTCTTTCTGGTAATTGCCTTTCAGGCGGAACAAGGCGAAGGCACTCTTCAGGATCAGACGCCTGGCCATGTGCCACTCAGAGGTCCTCCTTTCTAGGCTTCACGACGTTTCCCTGGCAGTTACAAAAGAGGTAAGAACAATGTGTTTAATTTTGTCCCACATACCTCGTACATGAGGCACAGAGCAGATATGTGCTTGTTCATTTACATGTGTGCTCAGTGTCTGCCTTCATTGCTATTTTTAGACCTCGTTTTTCTAACAGCTATGTCACCTGTCTATATGTTCTGTCTGTACAAGTAGCTATATTTACTGGTACGTAGGGCATCTGTCTCTCTCCTCTTTGAGCTAGGTGTCATTATAATGTAATATGCAAATGCAGAAACTGAGACACTAATCAGGTGATTTGCCACAGCACAAATCTCTGCCCAAGCTGTAATTAAACACTGCAGCTTTTGCCTCCCAGCTTCCTCTCACTTCTTCCTTCTCCTCAGCATCCTGGGGGCTTGACCGCAGGTCTTTGTTTTCCAGTGTTTCCTGATGTCTTCTCCTTTCTGCCTGCTTTTTGGTAATTCCCCCTTTCCATTGATCTGTTGCTTTCATGCACTAGTGGGATTTTGCACTGCAGCCGCTGGGTACTCAGAGCAGCCTGGCTGTGGGGTTTGCAGGGCAATCACACACAGCTTCATTGTCTCGTCTCTCAGTTAACAGAGAGGTCTCAGCCTAATAATAATAATACCTGTGGCTAGGTTTCCAACTTGGCACTTGTCTGTGGCCTGAACCAGCTGCCTTGCACTCTTACTACACAATTGCCAAATGTATTAAAGTTTCCTTTGCTTGCAGAAAACGGTAAGACTTAGCTCATTTCCATGAAAATCAGTCCTTCTATCCAGTATTTAATGATGCAGGAGGCTTGAGTGCCCCCTTGTGCTGGACTATTCAAACCTTTCTGTTTCGATATGCAGGACTCAGATTCTCCCCATCTGAGATCAGGGTTAGGAGAAGCAGCCCTTTCAGCTTAGCTCATCTGATTTTTACATCACTTTTGTAATTCTGAGGATTTTTCCCCCTCTCTGTTCTACACAGTCAGGTGCAGAGATATCTTTCAACTTCCATTTCACGGCAGTCCCAGATTTTTCTTTCACAAGCATTTCTAGCACTTATGTTGTTAATTTTTATTGACACGACCAAGTCTGGCAGAAAGAACCTCTGGTCTGTCCTTCAAAGTATCTTTCAAATGAAGTGCATGACTCTCAGATGCTTCTTCCTTACCCTTGTGGAAGAGCCTTTTGGAAGCACGGAACACTCCAGAGCAGCGATAAAACCCCACTGATCACAGCTGTACTTGCATGTGATCTCCAGGATCCTTGAGTTCCTTGGATCCAACAGCTAAGGTTCTCCTGAGTAGATGGAGCTGCAGATGGACTCAAGTCCCTGCTGCTAATTAGTCTGTAGACTTGAGCCTGTATTTTCTGTTTCCTGGTTGAGTGGTCAAACTGGCAGCGCTGCAATTTTTGATAGGAGGAAAGTACTACTTTTCCTCTATCTTGCCTTTATTAATTGTGCCTGTATAGTGTAAAAACAGCCCATGATTTAATTTTTTTTGTTGTTTTGTTTTCAATAAAAGGGCCTAAAATCAAAGCAGTGCACATTATGGGCTAAGTAGCACACTTTGTTCTAGGTGAAACAACATTTTTTTAAGCCTGCAGTCTCATTCAAATTGTATTGTATAAGCAGGCCTGAGGCCAGAGAGGAAGCTGGTATCAGAGTAAGTGTGTTTCTGCGCTTGTAGTCGTCTGTTCTTACAATGCTTTTCTGTTCCACCCAGACACAGCCAGAAGTTGTGTTGTTTCCTGGGAATTTTGTCTAGTGAAACTGACTTTCTTTGCGAGGTGGTTCTTATGGTTCCCCTCATGCCTTCCCCAGGTGAACCACCTCCGCTCAAAGGTGAGTCGCTGTGCCATCAACACTCTTGGAGAGCTCTTCAGGATCTTGAAGAAGGACATGGACCAGGAGGTGGATAATGTTGCTCGGGTCTTGCTCCAGAAGATGGGGGACTCCAGCAACTTCATTCAGAAAGCAGCCAATCAATCCCTGGCAACGATGGTGGAGACTGTGACTCCTGCACGAGCAATGAGTGTTCTCATGGCTGTTGGAGTCCAGTACGTCATTCTTCTCTTAGTGAAATCCTTCACCTTAAATTGTGTGGGTAGGGGGAAGGGACGGGAGGCAGAAGGGCAATGATGGGAGGGAAGGGTCCTTTCTCCTGCATCTTCTGTGAACTCGGTGATTAGATTTTCTGACCAATCTTGCTTCCTTCCTCTTGTCATCTGCTTCTGCCCTACTGCAGCCTATTTGTTCTCACAGTCTGCCAATGCTGCCTAGACATGGTGAATGACGGGGAAGCAAAAGTCCCTGCAAAGGGTGGTGGTACAGCCTTGTGGCTTTGTGGGAAGAGAGACAATGGCAATTCCAGCAGTGAACGCCCTTTGATATTTCACAACACTAACCACAGAGGCGTTGGGAAAAACTGTCCATCATCATTATGCCATTAACTTGAGAAATAAGGAGGCTAATGGCTGGGACACAAAACACATGGGGGAGAACTTGCTGGGTGGCGTACAGCCTGCTCAGCAGGTGCAGCTCCTGCTGAGAGGAGTCTATCTGACCATCGTGTCCTTAGAGCTCCACTTTCTATTCAAATTGACACTGCATGTTAGCCTTGAGATGGCGAGTCACTTCACAGGTGCCTTCACAGGCCGACTACTATGGCATAGCTGAAGCAAATGGCTGCCTTACAATATTAGTGCTGTTCCTGATGACAGTTTCAGATAGGTTTCCCTCTAGAAGGATAACCTGTCTAAAACATCTGCTACCCTTTCCTCAGCTTTTGAAAAGGGTAAAACATTCAAATGTACTTCTTGCCAAGCCTCAAAGAACAAACTGGCTGCATTGCTGGATGTTCTGCAGCTTCATGCTCCAGAGGGCTTTTCCGCCCTTTTGTTTTTTTCAAGGGTCTGCAGATTTGGAGACCAAGAGGTAGAATAAGCCTCAATCCTGCTGCAGCTCTGTCTGTGTAGTGGGAGCCCTCTGACAAGTCAGCATGAATTGTCTTTCATTTCCCCCTTTCTCAGAGTTAATTTCGGGAAAGAAATTGATTATCAAATAGTCCAAGGAGAGTGAATTCCTCCCTCTTCCTTGAGGTGGTCCCTCTGTACAGTGCCATCTCTGTGTTTGTCTGAGGACAGAATCTTCTACAGGTGGCCAGAATTGCAGCAAGAACACAAATCTTTCTTCAGCAATGACAGGGACCATGCTGTGACTGACACCTGTGCTTCTGGCCCTTGTTTTTCCTTTGCCCAAGTGTTTGTCCTCTTGTTTCCAGGCACCGCAATGCCCTGGTGCGGAAGTGTGCAGCTGAACACTTACTGACCACGATGGAGAAAATCGGAGCCAATCAGCTGCTGTCTTGCACGCGTGGCAGTAGTCAGCTGCTGGTGCACACGGTGATGAAGCTTGCTCAGGACTGTCATCCGGACACAAGGTGATGATCTCCGTTTCACCTCCTAAAATATGAAAACTGTTTGATGTCTGGCTATAAATGATAAAACCACAAAAGAGTGGAAGGTAAAGTAAATATTAAGACAGTTACTTCACAGTGTGGAAAATGTCTGGGGAAGTGACTGTACTGCGTAACATGAGGTTGTCCAGCAAGGAGGACCATTGCCAGATTCCTGTGACTTGAATGATCCTTTATTCAGATCAACTGAGCTCAGATTAGTCAGTCAAACAATTTTTTTCAGTCTTACATGCACAATGCAAAGCTGACATGCTGGCCACTGTTCAACACTGAATGGTCCCAAATATTCATTTCTAGTAAGGTTAAGACTGTCCTAGAAAAATTCCAGCTGTCTTCAACCAATGCATTCAGTCTTTCTAAACATCTTGTGCAGATTTAGTTGCCAAGGATATTCACAAATGTATCTTCCCAATCCTTGTATAATGTTGTTGTCTGTGGCTGAACGACCTCCAACTTCCCTCTTGAAGATAGCATAGTAACAAAACGAAACCAAACAACCAAAAAAACCTTTACTTTGATTTTTAATTTAAAATCCCACTAACAGATGGCAAGAGCATATGAGCAACTAGCAGCCCAAGTGCATACCTGTAGTATGGAATAATAAATAGTAGGCATGAAGTGATTTGTACTAGCTTCTCTGCCAGTTGAAGAAAGGTAAATCATTATGCAATGGCAGCAAGACGCTGCAAATAAGCCATGACACCAAAGCAGGAGATGTGCTTCGCACATCCCATGGGATCCTTCGATCCCACAGAAGTACACCCACAATTTCAGAGTGAAATTGTATTTTCCTGTTGCCCTGTGTTCCCCTCTTGCTTCTTGTGTTCAGCTCGCAGCATTGTGCAGTGACAAGTGAAGGCAAGCATCTCTCTTTGCTGAATAGGTAATACCTCCTCATGAAGGTATGTCACATGATGAGGTTAAAATATCAGCTTGTTCCATTAACACTTTTCTGTTGTTTATTCACAAGGGAGAGGAGACAGTAATAGTCTGTATTCATTTCTCTCCTGTGCTAGGTGTTATGGACGGAAGATGCTGAATATGTTGATGAGTCAACCAAAATTTGATACATATTTGAAACACTCTGCCCCCTCACGTGACTTGGAAGACCTTAAGGCAACACTTCAGCAGAAGGTAAGTGCTTGGCAGGAGAAATGATATGAGATTAAACATACCTAATCTTTCTTTATCTCATTCTTCTTCCACTGAATCCTTTTGCTCCTAGGAATGAGCACTGATCCTCAGCCTGTCTATCTGCAGACAGTGGAGGAACTAGTATAACTAGAAATAAAGTGGGTGTATTTTGAATATCAGCCACAAACAAGAAAGTGAAGTACGAGAAAATGGTTTTACCTTCAGGCATTAAAAAAAACCAACACTACTCCCACTCCCCCAATAAAGCAAGGAAGCCAGAATAGTGCTTCTGAAGATAACAGTCTTTGCAACAAATGAAAGAAAATTTCCAAAATATTGAAAAGATGCACAAGGCAATCATAATTAGTATATGTATTTTCTGTATTCTGGGAATACTGCCCTGCTGTCATGCACTGTGGAGCTGGAAGAATCTTGTGAATTCAGCATCCAGTGGAAAATCATCCCTATTTTTTCTTCTTCATTCCTCTCCATTTACATTCTAGAAAGGAATGTGCATTTGTGCCGGAATAGGGAGAGTGAGTGTGAACCAAATCAACTCCCAACACAACGGGCTAACCTCCAGAGAGTCCAAAAGTTTCCCACTATTCCCTTTAAGAAGGCTCATTCCCTTACCAGTTGACATTATTCCCATTTCACAGAATCACAGAATCACTCATCTAGTCCAACCCTCCGGCTGAAGCAGGGTCACCTACAGCAAGCTGCACAGGACCTTGTCCAGGCGGGTCTTGAATATCTCCAGAGAAGGAGACTCCACAACCTCCCTGGGCAGCCTGTTCCAGTGCTCAAGAATAATGAAGTCAGGATTTTATCCTGCTGCCCATCATGGTAGAACCTATAACCTGTCTTGGGTTATTGAAAACAAATAGTAGACGTCACAGAATCTCTGGCCTGTCTCCCTCTCTAAGTTACGAAATGTTTTCCTAAACCTTTATTGGTAGCAGTGATCCTGCTTATAACTTGTGTTGCCTATTCTACCTTCTATAGATTCATGGGTTTTTTATATATGTATATGCAGGGTACACAAGACCCTAAATGTGAACCTTCCATCAGACAAAAGAAGTCTAAGAACAGCAGCTTGACGATGCCCCAGGACAAATTGCCTTCTGGTGGAAGGTACTGAGCACTTCTGTTATATCTGACAAAGCACATGACAAGCTTTGTATGTCTCTTCCTCAGGAAAATCTTTCCAGTGGAGACGAGCTGTGCCAGAGGTTGTTTCCTTGCCCCACAAATCTTGTATGATAAAAAATGTCTACATCTGCATTAGGCTGAACACAACTTCTCTGGAGGGTTTTCCCCAAAAATTGACAGAGGAAAAGACAGCCACCGGCTGCAGCTCAGAAGATCCAGTGCAGTGGCGAGGACAGTGTTGTTGAGGCTGTGAGAGGGTCGTGTCTCTGCTGTTTGGCTTGAGACAAGTAATTTCAATCAGGGAATTCTTATCTGAGTGAAGCCTTTTTTAGATCGGTGGTTTGATGAGAAGCCCCAGTCTAGAACCAAGATGCCATTCCCAAAAATAGCACTTTCCACACATGTGGTTTGGCCTGGCTGAATCATGGCTTTCTGACCCTCAAACAGCACCACCAAGACAATTCCTGAGCAGTTGTGGTCAACAGACAGCATGGACTTATTATTCATGTCATTCAGACCCACTGCTGGTTGGTTGCTGGGCAGCATGTTTTTTCCCCTGCGCTGCAACCAGTGTTCAAGACATGAATTTGGTCCTTGCTGTCTCCCCATGCCAGCAGGAGAGCTACTTGTTCCTGTTCTCCTCTGATAACAGAGTGGATTTATTTAGCTCTGTTGTGCTCAGCAGTGGCAGGAAGGTGACCACATGCGTCACTAGCATGGTTAGGAGCTCCTCCTGCTCATGGCAGAGGGAGGTTGATCCAGCAGAATTGTTCCCATTGGGTTTGTTAAGCTGTGGATCCAGTCCTTAGGGAAGCAACAACGTGAGCATAGTAGTGGGATGGCTGACTTCTGTTCTTATCTCTGTAACTGATCCTCTGGATCCTTTCAGATATGCCCCTTAATCTCTGTGGGTAAGATTCATCTGTTCAGGTGCATCTGAGCTATTTATCCAGATTCCCGTACCTACTGTAGAGACATTTCTCCAAAGTAATTAATTTCCTTATAATGTAGACACCCCCCAGAAGAGAGCCATTTAAACTTTGAAGTAGTGCCTGTTTTTCCCCACGAAGGGATGCTAGATGAGTACCTCGGAAGATGTGAGGATGAAAGAGATGAATCCCACCCTCGGTGCCTTGGTTTTCCTGAGTACATACTAGCAATAATGTTACCTGCAGATTGTCTCTTGTAATGATTGTCATGAGATCCAAGCTGCTTTTCAGATCAGGATCCAGCTGAAATTGCATCAGTCTCCTCGAGATGTTTTCCTCACAATTAACTGCAGATATTATCACCAAAAGGTCTTACCTTGTTTTTATTTCCCAATTGAAGGCCTCGCCTCTTACGCCGTCAGACAGTCCAATGCCCATCACTTCGGACTGTGGGAGAAACTGACCAGCTCAGTGAGCTTTCCAACCTCCTGACAGCCAAGGATTTTCAGACCCGAACAAAGGGAGTGGCTCTCCTCCTGGGTCACTGCAAAAACCACCCCCAGCTCGTCTCCACTAACATTGTCCGGGTATGTAGGGCATCTCGATTGCTCCTTTCCCAAGCCTGTACCAGTAAAGTTAACTTGGTGTGTCTTGGCACTACTTACTAGTTGTTTGTGACAGGCTGGTCCCTTCTTACCCAGAATAATTTAATTCAATTCCAGGCTTCAGGGCAAGTAATTTCCATCCAGATGTATTTCTCTGGTAGGTGCCTACTGTTGCTGATCAAGATGATGACAGAATTTTCTGCTTTCCTGCTGTTCTAGATTCTGCTGTCTCTTACTGTCAGTTAGGCTGAAATAAAGGAAATCCAGCCACTGAAAGCTTGGCAATTACTCTCCAGAAGAAAAATGAGTTGGGATGGGGGAGAGAAGTATCAGGCTGGGTTGATTTAATGGCAAAATCAAAACTACCCTCAGTACTTCAGACAACTTTGTGGTAAAATGGGCATCATAAATACCTGTTTTCACCCCTCTATACCAAATGTACTATTTTGCATTAATAAAATGGGATTAATTTAATGACTTGTAGGTAAAGAGAAGCACCATATGAACTATCTTGTCCCCACCCAAACCTCTTAAGAAAACACGAAAATCTTTTCAACCAGCATGAGGTTGTGCAACCACTACAGCAAGCAGCCCACAGGAAAAGAGAGAAATTTTGCTAGCAAGCGCTGACCTGACAGAAAGGATTAAACTCATCTTCTATATTGCTTGGTACTTGTTTCTACATCCCTTCTTGAAACAAAGACATTTTAATCCAGCTTTCATGTCTTTTGTTTTCTCAACAGATTTTTGATGATTTTGTCCCAAGACTTCAGGATTGCCACAAGAAAGTGAAACAGCAGGCACTGGAGGCTCTAGCTTTAATGATACCCATGCTCAGAGATGCCTTACACCCAGTGCTGGTCCCTCTGGTAGCAGCAGTCACTGACAATCTGAAATCAAAGGACCTGGGAATTTATGCTGCAGCTGTGAAGGCACTGGAAGCATCCATTTCTCACCTAGGTAAGGCTGACCTCTGACACTGACGCTCCTCAACTGCAGCTCCTCCATCTTGGAACCAAGCCAACACCGAGTCTGTTGATAGCTGTTGTAATCTGTAGAAATATGCAGCTGTGGCAACATGTTTATGAAGTTCTGTCTGCATTCTTTCTATCACAGAATCACAGAATGGTAGGGGTTGGAAGGGACCTCTGTGGGTCATCTAGTCCAACCCTCCTGCCAAAGCAGGGTCACCTACAGCAGGCTGCACAGGATCTTGTCCAGGCAGGTTTTGAATATCTCCGGAGAAGGAGACTCCACAACCTCTCTGGGCAGCCTGTGCCAGGGCTCTGTCACCCTCAAAATAAAGAAGTTCTTCCTCATGTGCAGCTGGAACTTCCTCTGCTTCAGTTTGTGCCCGTTGCCCCTTGAGCTGTCGCTGGGCACCACTGAAAAGAGTCTGGCCCCATCCTCTTGACATCCACCCTTGAGATATTTCTAATCATCTGTATGTTCCCCCGACCTGCTGGCCACACTCTTCTTGATGCACCCCAGGACAGCACGGGCCTTCTTGGCAACCAGGGCACACTGCTGGCTCATGGTCAACTTGTCATCCACCAGGACACCCAGGCTCCTCTCCGCAGAGGTGCTTTCCAGCAGGTCCACCCCAAGCCTGTTGAGATGCATGGGGTTGTTCCTCCCCAGGTGCAGGACCCTGCACTTGACCTTGCTGAACTTCATCAGGTTCCTCTCTGCCCAACTTTCCAGCCTGTCCAGGTCATGCTGAATGGCAGCACAGCCTTCTGGTGTATCTACCACTCCTCCCAGTTTGGTGTCATCAGCAAACTTGCTGAGGGTACATTCTAACTCTTCATCCAGGTCGTTGATGAAGAAGTTAAACAAGACTGGGCCCAGTACTGACCCTTGGGGGATACTGCTAGTTACCGGAGTAACGTAGAATGGGTTTATACTGAGACTTTTTTTTCTCTCACCGCAGTATTATGGTTGATATTAACGATTCACAACAATGAGTAAAAGGATAGACAACTGGGTGGCTCTCTAAGTGAAGAAGGGGCTGGTAGGGTTGGTTGCAGCCTCGAGCCACAGTTGAAAACCAGACCCAAGTCTGTAGCAAGTGTTGTTATCTGTGACTCTTAGGTTAGTTACTGTCATGGTTTAACATGGTACCCCAGTGAAAATGAGAGCACTAAGAAGCCGATTCTTCTTTTGCTCATATTGCAAATGCTGGTCTGCCTGTCCTCTGGCCAACAGGTGTAGCTAATATGTAGTGCAAAGAATTAAAGCTGACTTAATAAGAATTGAGCTGCCGGCTGCCTTGTTTTCTCTAACAGCCATTACAAGCTCTGCTGTCTTTAGGCAGCTAAAGTAGTGATTGGGTAACTTTGTTGTTGACTTAAGCTTTACTATTTCAAAATGCCCAGGGCATTTAAAATCCTTAAACTGAAAGGTGAATAGTGCCTATAGACTTAGCTTCCTAAAATCCAGGCAAAGAACCAGTTCCCCCTCACCCATCCAACCCACAAGGGTTCCCCTGAAAATCTGTGTAGATACCAGTATTAACAATTAATTAACATTTTGTGCTTGTTCAAGACCTCCAAATCCCAGGGCATTTTTTTCAAAGCAAGCAGCTGTAAGGAACTCTCTGGGGAGGAACATCAAGTGTGAAACAGCATCTGCCAATACTGCAAGACTGTGAGGCAAAAAGTGAAGTGTCTGTTTAAAAAGGTGAATGACAAGAGCGTAATTACCAAAGCAGAAACTTAACTAGGGTCTCAGGATCAGTTCTTTATTGTATGCTTGCAAGAAGATCATTAGGGACTTCCTTTTTATACCTCATGCAAAAACGAACACAATTCAAACCACTTTGGGATTTGGCTCTGTAGTCGTTCACAAAGAAGCAGGTTGCCCGCTTCTTTGCCACTCCTGGTGACACCATGAGGTTATCATAGTGCATGCCATGTGTTTTCTGCCTCCAAGAAAAGCTTTGCTTGGTTTATCAAAGTGGTAAGACTGGAGGCATGCAGACCAATCCAGGCAACAGTTTATAAATTAGAAAAAGACTCCAAATCAACAACAGGCAGCATAGTAAAAACTAAAATACACATGACAGTCAGGTAGTGGGAAATTGGTTCATTTTCCAGTCTCTCTGCCAAGATCTGATTTCAGAGACGTTACAAGAGCCCCTGAGAGCCCATGGTGTTGGTTATGAAAAGTAATTCTCTCTTGTAAGAGTAACTTGGGGTCTTGTCCAGAGATCCCAATGGGTAAGTTAAAGATTTAACACCAACTTATCCTTAAAGTGTGAATGGATGTGTGACCTTTTGAGCATTCTCACCTTTTTCCTTAGGAGAGGGAGGACGTCACTTCTGCAAAGCTCCAGGATGCAAAACCTTTTCACTGCTTACATGTGATTGAAATTTTGAGGGCACTGATGTGAAATGTTTAACACAGCTCCTTGCACAGCAGTCACCTTTGGATTTATGAATGTGAAATTAGAGCTTTTCTTTTTGAATTTAAAATCCTCCCAAGTAAGCTGGAAAGAAAGAAGAAAAGGACTTAGAAACTGGCAGAAATTTACTTTATTTTACAAAATGGAGTTAGCCCTGCCCTGCCCCAACCCCTTTTTTTTTTCTTAGAACCTCAGAAGACTGAGCAGAAACAAATGTTTCTCTTACAGATGACATATTGCTGCTGCAAGTGTTCACCCAACGAGTGCATTACCTCAACGGCAAAGCTTTGCTGGAGGTTGCAGAACATCTCCCAGGTATTGACGGCTTCAGCTAATCTCCACTTTTAAGTTAAGGAGTCTTCAGAGGGAATACTTAGAGGGAACACCACTGAACAGACAGTGCAGTAGCTCATCAAACACCAGCAGGTCCTGAGCGTGTCCTTTCTGCAAAATACATGTAGTAGGTGTATCTGGCAGGGGTTTGCCTGGCTGCTGCGGAGGTGTGCAGCATGTGACGTGAGAACAGAGCTTGGGCTCCAGCACCGAGCTCTCACTGGGTCATCTCAGGACCTGCCTCCAGGAAAGACAGGGGCTAAAAATACCCTGGCTGGCTCCCCTCTTTGAAGGACAGTAAAGGTCGTGGAGGTCTGAAGTGAACAATCATCCTTCAGAAAAAATTGTGGCAACTGTTATTTCTGAGGATCAGTTTGGCTTGTCATCATGGGATTTTTGTTTTCCTGTCAAACTTCTGAGGCTTAATCCTGCAGATCCTGGGGGTCATACCATAGGTGAAAACTCAATACACTCAATACCGGCAAGGATTTTGCGCAAGGCAGGGTCTGGGGGCAGAGGGGCAGAAGCGGGCAGTTTGGCCCAACCCACTGAGGGTCCATGCCTATACTGCAGATATGACGTTGGACTCTGAGCATTTCAGGATGTGCAAACAGCCTATTTCTATATCAACGGTGTCTGACACACTACAAATGCAGCTGTTAATTGATTTGTGATAGTAGCTTGCTATATCAGCAATAGCCGAGGAATGGAAAAAATGACAATCTCAATATATACTAGAGAAGACTATTTATAGCCTTGCTTTAATTAGGCCTAAATCCACTGCTAATTATGCCAGCATCTTTTAATCCAAGGTTTAATACACTTTGCTTCTTCATTATGAATCCCAAAAGGGCACGTTTAGCCATAGCGAATGTAAAAGGACCTTTAAAGACAATTTGAATGAAGTAAATCTCCACAGAGTGTAATTTTACAGTTATTTTAATCTCATTTTCAAATAAAGCATTTGAACATAAATTGAGACTAGTTCAGAGAGAGCAGATGTTCTTTCTGGGATTTAGTGGGAACAGACAGTTCTTTCTCTTCTGAAGTTTCTACGACCACTGTGTTTAATAGCACTTAAACTCCAGTTAACTCCCATTTTAAAATAGGTACCATAACCCTCTTCCTGCTTACCAGAATTATTTTTAGGTACTTTCAGGAGCTGTTTAAATGTTGGTGATTGATGCTAGATTAACAGTGTAGAGCAAATGAAGGTCCTTCCACTGCAGAATAATAAATGGTTACTGCATAACATTTCTACTGAACAGAGAATAAGAACTCTGTCTCTGGACCATTTCAGATTTTGATCTCTCAGTAAAATCTGCCACACAAGGTTGTATTTAATGTAGTTCAGTTCAGAAAATGAGCTGAGAGCAGACTTCAGAGAGAATGAGAGGGAATGCTTGCTTTTTGTTTGAATTTCAGCCCCTATATAAGATTTTTCTATCTCTGTTCCCTCATTTCAGGGAACACTGTGAGGGTAAATGCCATTAAACTTGTGAGATGGTCAAATGCCGTGGCAATGGGGCCTGAGTAATTATCTAAGACATTCGGAAGTTTGAAACAGCTGTTCATTAGAAGCCACCAAGTATGAGGGGAAAAAAGCTTAAACCAGACCATTCTGCCAAAGACATCAGTTAGTCACTGATGTTTCTAATAAAACTGTCCAGCACACACATTTTTGTGGGCTGGAGTTTTGAAGTGTGGTATAATACTGCCATTTGCTGTGTGCCACTGAGCAAAGGGAACTGCCAGATCAGAATCGTGGCCTTTTTCATCAAAGGTCACAAAAAAGTGATCATCTGTTTTTATTAGAAATCTTTCAATTACCACTCCAAGCTGCATTTCAAAATCTTCAGCAGCTGGTTTAGATAACTTCTTAGTGGAAATAAACACCGATTTGACATTGTTGTCATTTGTAATGCAGAAGCGGATAGTGAAATGATTTACAAACTGTGTATGATTCACTTTGCTAAGTCTATCAAGGATACAAAACCTCTGATTTGGAGAAATTAGGGTCCTTGGAGGCTGGTTGTTATGTTCAGTGGATGATCAGCCACTGTTACCTATTTCTGGATCATCAGGCTCTTTGTGCTTGCTGATATTATCCAGAACAGGCTTCCAAGAACCAAAAATAACGGTGGGTACTTGTTTGCACTAAAGTTGTTAAGATACTTGTCTCTCTCACCCTGCAGCGCTTGTGGCATCTGTTTATCCCCTGAGACCCCAAGTGGTCAAGTGCTACGCCCTGCCCGTGCTGTGGTTCTTCCTGGGAAAAAGGGCCCTGCCTGTCGGAAGCGGCAATGTCAGGGCTGTGGTCATCAAGCTTGCAAAGAGCCTCTACGAAGTGATGGGCTCCAGGCTGAAGGAGAATGCTGCCAGCCAGCCTCAGCATGTGGTGAAAAACCTCAACGACATTTTGGACCAGATCTGCGAGTGAAGGCTTGGTGTACTCCACAAAGCTGATGGAGAGGTACCCCGAGTGGGATAGGTGGAGGCAAAGGTGGATGTGGCAGGGGCATTGGTTTTATTCTGTGTGTTTGAATAACGAGATTTACCCTACAGAGTTTATAGCTACAGATATGCATTGTATATAAGTAAGAGATGTATATATATTTACTTACAAAGTAAGAGATGGGCTTTGGAAGCATTGGGGCTATACAATTAGGTGGCTTGACTCAGGAAGCACAGAATGAGAGAACAGCAGATGTTGGTGCATCTGTATAGTCAGATATGAAAACAGGGCAGCATGATCTGTTTTCATAGAATCTTCAATATACTGGCAGAGTTTTGAAAGAAAGAAAAATGGAAGTTCTGGGGAGAAGAAAAAATAGGCAATCGCTTGTGATTCACCTGCTGCTGCCCCAGCTTCCTCTGCAGATGCGTGCACATCTGCACAGACACGTCTACCTCTGCACAATAGTCCTCCTCTGTGTATACTGTCAGTCTAGCTAATATATTAGGCTGTAAAAGAGCTCAGTGTTGACACATTTCTGTCAGTGCAAATGTTCAAATAGTAGTACATACTATTTCAAGAAGGGAAATTGCCTGTACTAATAAGATGACTTTCATATGGATATGATTGTGGCAGTACTAGGATCTCTATTGCTTTGACTGCCGTATTATTCTGGCAGGGGTTTTTTTTCAGTATCACCCAGTGCAAACAAAACATTCTCCTTTTTCGCCAGGGAACAGCTGTCCTCCAGCTGAATCAGCTCCATGGCCCTGGTAGGTGCCTGCGTAGGCTGGACCTCTGCAGCGGTGGGACATCCCTGCGCAGTCTCTCGGCTGCTGGCAGGTGCTGCTGTTTCATTCTCTGGGGATCCTGCAATTAAAACTCCGTTTTTAGGTAATGGTAACTGCGTGCTCCTCTTCTGGTCCTGCCAGGGCTGACACTAGTTCATACTTCTTGCCCGTAGGAAGCTATCTTTTTTTGCAAACTTACAGATTGCTCTTGTCCCAGTAAGCACTGGCCTAAAATCTTCCTTAGTGTGATTCCAATAGGGAATAAATCTGTCCCACCGTACCATTTCCTCACTGGCCCTCTTCTCCTCTTCCTCTTTTGCCATGGCTTCTTTGTGTCATCTGCTGCTGCTATTCATTATTTGGCATTACAGTTGCACCATTTATTCACATGTCTGGGGGGGGACAAGGTACCCAAAAGGTCCTATGTAGAATAAAGTTTTCTACCCAGATGTATTCTGTTCTCACAATAGACCTGACCAAAGAAAACTTGGCCCAGATCCTAAAGCTCTCCACATGTAGAACCTGAGTAATTTCTGGCTCACAGCTGTCTTCGATCACAATTTTATATGTAAGAAGAGGAAATGTATTTCACTGGGAAAAGCTGCACTACTTTTCAGAGGGCATATATATGTGTATTTGCCTAGAAGAGCAGTCAAGCAGTGTTGTCGGTAACTTGGTTGCAGAGGGATGAGCTGACTGTGAGGCCAACAACAGGTGAGAAGCGCTTCTCAGATCTATTTATACTTCAGCCTGGGTGCCCTTCAGCCCAGAGCTATGTGACCCATTTATTGCCATGGGCCAGTGCTTGCCAGCGTAATGAATTCCTGGGTAGCTGGAACAAGCACTTCTGGGTTAGCCTCTGACTCTCGGTGGACTGCACAATCATTGACAGTGCTGCCTTTTAAGAAATTATTTAACAGCTTCATTTCATAATAATTTGAATCTTTTAAACTTACAGTTTAATTTGTAACTGTCGTTATTCCTCTGCTTTAGGGAAAAACACTTCACAGTCCAGAGCGAACTACAACATTTAGACAGCAAAGTCTGCATGGTTGCCAGTTTCTGACGTTACAGAAGAAAATGTATGTGTGATGCCTTAATTAGGCTTTCTGAAGGCAGAAATCTATTTTATGTGGCCACGTGTGTTTGCTTAGCTATGGATCTGATCCTGGCCTCTGCGTAAGCCCAGGCAGGGTAGCACATTGCAGGGAAGAACTGTATCCCCACTTGCTCTGTGAGCTTACTGGGTTGCCATCACCAGCACAGTGAATGTGTCCTTTTTGGTTTTCCTTGGAGACAAAATGAGGGAAATGAGCTGCCTGTTTGTTTAAAGGGTGGCATTTCTTTTTTCTCTCCTTAAAGTCATTGCTCTTTCTTAGTCTTCAAGCATGGTAATAAACAAACATGGATGACACATGGTCCTCCTGATAATGCTTCAAAGTACCAGTAAGTGCTTGGCTTACAAAAGTAAATTTGGATATAGTTTGGGTCTTGGCTTGGTTTTGTGCAAATTTAGGAGAAAAAGAAAATTTGAGAGAGAAAACTTGAGATAATTGGATCCGCTGGGCCCTGTGCTAGCTTTCTGCAGGACTGGCTTGTCACCCTCAAATGGGTGGGTGGGAGATGGTCAGGCCCCGCGCTGTTGCTTTGTACTTTTGGAGCATATCAGTCTCCTGGGAAGCACCATCCAGAGAATAGAGAAGCTCACACAAGTCCCAGTCTCCTTTTCGCGGCAAGGAGTCTAAATTAAACCTATCAATCAAAGGACTCTTAAAGTTATTAGTACACTGTTTATTTACAGAAACAACTTTCTATTTTTGCTGGTTTGTAAACAACCTCTGAAGAGGTTACAAGAAGCTTCACCGTGTGCTGGGAGTAGACAGTCTGCAGAGCCAAGGGAAACTGGGAATACACCGAGTGTCCAAAAGCCTATTGCGCTCCTGGTGCTGTGGTGTTTCCAGTGGCTTTTCTTCTGTGGAAAAGCTTAGTCTAGCTATTTGGCTGTCAAGGGAACTCTGTGAGGCTGGAAATGGGAAACCATTGACTTGTCAGGGCTAGCAGAGCTAGAGCACCTCAGAGATACCCTGTTACCAGCTGTTCTTACCACGCTATGTGGACTGATAAGAAATATGCCCAAGACTCGGAATCAGGTAACTGCTTACCAGCAGTTCTGTGTCTCAGTAGCTGCTCAGCTGCAGAGCACTGTGTGACAGCAGGGCGTCCCTGGTGCTCCCTGTTCCCTGGCTTAGCCACAAGAAAAACTGTGCTACGGAAAGCTACTTGGATGCCAGGTCTCTTATGATTAATGCACACATGTATGTATATGCATGTGTTTTCTCTGAAATACAAAGATGAAAGGATCTGTGTGGATATCAGGTTATTGATAAAAACCTCAATATTCAAAGAAGTCCGGCAAGATGCATTGCCTTGTGCCCTGATTATCCACATGAACTATATTTGCAAGCAAAGAGACACAAAGCTTGAAAGTGGAGGTAAACATTTAAAAAATAAAAAAATAAAGCTATTGCATTGTACTGGCAGGTATAATTTCCAGCTTGGATGCAAGTGATATTAAACTCATATTAGTTAAAAGGGGGGGTGAAGGCTACAAGATAGAAATTGCCCTGTTAGACTGACTTCTTAAGAGTCACATTTAAAAGCCAAGCTGCTAGTGAATTTGTTGGTTTAGGTTTTATCTGTAGAGTCATCTTGGCCTTGCTACATATCTTTGTGTGTCTTCTGGAATGCCTGGAAAGTTTTGTCCACCGCTTAACAGTTCCTGCTCTGGGGAAGGACGGGTCTTTGTCAGCATCCTCAGGCTTCAGCTTTGGCTCATTCGTATACGAAAGACCCAGTGGTTCAGTAGTAGTAATAATAAATGAAGGGCAGCCTCTAACATTGAAAGCTTTCCGTTTCTCTTTAACTGCTACATAACCAACTCATCTGTGCCTCAAGGAAAACTTTATGCAGGCAAGAGAGATTCATATGGAGTAAGATAGGCTTATCACCCCTTTCTCCTTTAAAATAACCTTGATAAAGGGTGTACACTATACAGTTTAACTGTAGAAATCCTCACGGAGTTACTTAATGCAGTCACAGAGTTGTATATTAGTAAAGAAAAGAATATGATGAGGAGAGGTGAGAGGCCAGATTTGGAAATTCAGAGTGTTAGTAAAGCAGAGAGCAATTAGGGGTGGAGAGAGCTGTAGATAATTTTGTGCTAGCAGTGGTGGAATGGGATAGATGCAGGGTGAGCATACATGAGATGAATGGAAATGGGATCAGAGGGATGACGTGATCCTGGGTCTTGATGACCTTGTCCTGCTGAGTACTGTCTGTATCTGCACCTCTTTTTTTGACATCAATATTTTCATGATTCTTGCAAAAAGGGCAGTGGGCAAGAAATGCAAGCTTAGGATATTTGCTCCCAGCTTTCAGATGATCCAATATACAGTCGTGAGTTTGTATTAGTCTTTGCCTTTACCCAAGGACAACATGGAAACGAGCACCTAATCCATACTGCAAGCATCATGAAACCTTCAGGACCTTCATGATTCTGTGATTCTATGACCTTGCCCAGGAAGATGAAAAACTCAGTTCGAAGTTCATACTTGCAACATGCATCTCTACATGCTGCAGTCATGATGGCACTGAGTAGATCTGATGTGGAAGGATTAATGATTTGCTGATCTAGAAGGATTTCTCTTTAGGAGATGCTGGCACCTCCTTACTGATGAGATGTGACAGTAAGAACAGGTTACCTTATCTCTGTGCGGTGATTTCTTCCCTTCCTGTAGCAAAGGGGATAACTTCTCAGATTATTCCTCTTAATGACAAAACTTCATCAATGATTATGAAATGCTTTGGAGGTTGAGAGGTGTGGCAGTGCAAACACTGTCATACACTGGTTTCACTGGTAACCTGCACAGTACTGTCAACCGTATGGCTAGCGTCTGGGGTAGTTCTTGAAGTCAAATAAAGCAACTGGAGTGTGTCTAGTGCTTTGGTGTCCTAGTTATCTTCAGATGCTGAGGGTATGAAATGACAAGTCTGTGAAAGGTTGGAGATTTGAGCAGTGTCACTGGAAGCAAGAACAGCTGCCAGCTTGTTAAAGGTCTGCAGATAAAGTGCAGCAAGGAGCTGTTAGCTGCTGTTTTTGTAGCTATGAGGCCCTGACTGGAAAACTGATACTGC